AATCTATTAAAGTAAAATGCATGTTTTATTCACTAAAATTTATAAATAAATGTGTATACAATGCAATAATGGATAAAATAACACTGCGCATATCTAATTAATTAAAAAAGTAAAGAATAGAGAAAATATAAGCACTAGAGAACAAATTAAATAGATTAACAAAACAAAACAATAGAAAGGTAGATTTAACACAAAATATTTAATAATTACCTTAACCATATCTGCATTAATCACTTCATTTAAAAGAAAATAATTATCAGACTTGAATATTAGGAAACAGAAACTATATATATATATTTTTTTTTCTAAAAGAAATTATTTAACAAAGAACACAAAAAAACTGAAAATTAAAGGACGAAAAACGATATTAAAAAGTCAAATCATAACCCAAAGAAAGCAAATATAGATATATAATACCAATCAAATTAAATGTTATAGAAAAATGTGTTTTACAGTGCAGAATTATTATTTCCTAATAATAAAACTGCTATTCAGCAGAAGCTGTACAATCCCAAAGAAAATGTGGTACATATATGCAACCGAGTACTATTCAGCCACAAAAAAAGCATAAGATTCTGTCATTTGCAACAACATGAATGGAACTGGAAGACATTATGTTAAGTGAAATAAGCCAGGCACAGAAAAGCAAACTTCACATGTTCTCACTCATGTGTAGGAGTTAAAAATCAAAACAATTGAACTCATAGAGGTAGAATAGAATGATGGTTACCAGAGAGTAGTGAGGTGGGGGAGTGGGAATATTTAGTGGGTATAAAAATATAGTCAGAATAAATAAGATCTATTATTTGATAGTATAAGAGGGTGATTACAATAAATAATAATATGCATTTAAAATATAATCTAAAGAGTTTAACTTGAATGTTTGTACCAAAAATAAATGATAGATACTTGAGGTGAATACCCCATTTATCCTGATATGATTATTACACATTTTATGCATACATCAAAATGTCTCATGTACCTCATAAGTATGTACATCCACTATGTACCCATAAAAATTAAAAGTAAAACATTTATTTAAAAAGGAGACATAACAATCCTAAATTTGTGTGTACCTAAAACAGTTTCAAATGTATAAAGCAAAAACTTACTGGACTAAAAAAATTTTAAAAGGCTAAGTAAATGATTATAGTTAGAGAATTTTAACACACCTCTTTCAGTAGCTGTAGAGATTATTTGAAGAACAAGAATCATAAATCTGACTCGAATATGTTCTCACACACAGATTAAATCAATGTATATACCAATAACAAAAACATACCTGGAACACAGGCTGATTTTTGAAATTAAACAATATTCACAAACTACTCCATGTGATAAAGAAGGAATTACAAAGGAATAAATTGTAAAACTCTAAAGCAGTACATGAGAAAATTTCCATAAATGTCCTATGTCTTTATCTCCCAATATTTCCTTCGAAAATGTATAAAAAACCAAAAAAGGGAAAAACAAAAGTAATCAAAAATTCAGTCCTCTGCATAACTTAAAGACAAAAAATACCCACATTTCAAAATGACCATGAAAGTTAAACAAACAAACAAAACCCCAAATACCAAATCATGGAAAGAAATCTCTCAAATATTGTCTCACTTCTACTCTAAGGCAACACTTTCTGATGGATACAGCAGCCTGAAATAGGCTCTGTAGAAGACAGAAGGGAGGTCAGTGGTGGGCCTAAAGTAGTTGCCCAAGACCACTAGAGAAAATAAGTGTACCATTAATATGAAAGAATTTAAGAATGTATTTGGAGAGCAGCACAAGAACTAAGAGGAAATGGATCTATAAGTATCTGCGATGTGAAAGAGCGATGTTCAAAATAGGTTGTTTTTGGGCCAAGAAAAATGTCAAAAACAAAAACAGAAGTGAGCTTAAGAAACTGTACAGTGACAAGGAAAAGTCAAGGGGAGTACTTTGTGCTTCTACAAGGAAAAGAAAAATCAATTAAACGGAAGTAATAGAATTTCTCCCCACCACAAAATAAATATACTCCAACACCACAATCAAATACAAAGTATCTGAATTTTATAATCATGACATTAAAATATACCAATAAGCTAAGAATCTTGTAAAATGCCCACAAACCACAAAATAAAAAAGACAAAAGAATTATTGCAGAAATAAGATATCAATATCCAATACAGCTCAATTGTGGAAAATTTTCACCCAAAATAATAAGCAGAAGAAACTGTAAGAAAATACTCCCTACAGTTAAGTATATTCAAACAAAAATTTAGGAATAAGAAAAAATCATCTTGAATAAAACAATTTGGAAACTAAGCAAGATAAATTCATTCAACACACACACACACACACACACACACACACACACACACAAGCAGGAAGAAATAAATAAAAATTGTTTGGACTTTAAAAAAGAGCAGAAAAAGTCAAAATTATGGTGATCACCAATAAATCCACTAAAACAGCTTAATGATAGGCAGGAAAAAATGAAGAGAATACAAAAGATATTAACAGAAGTCAGAATGTCAAAGAGAATATCATGCAAATACAAGGCAGGCAAAGCGTGACTAACATACCTACAGTGGGAATTCATGAAGAAGAAAATCAACAATGTAACAGAACAAATATTCAATTTTATATTCCTAAATAAATACATACATAAGTAAATAAATTTTCTGAAGGTTGAAAGAAAGCTTGAAATTACATTTTGAAAGAAATATATCAGTGTCCAGAAAAGAGATTACCCAAATTCAACAACTCTATAACATTTACTAAGAAAAGAATTCAGTGGAAAGCTTTTTAAATAAATCCAAATGGCCTGTAGGAGAAAAAAAAACAAGATTAAATAAATTACAAGGGCTGAATAATAGACTGGCATTAGACTTTTCAAAAATAACACACAAAGCAAGTTACCAGTTATGATTAGGCTATTAATGTGAAAACTCAATGAAAAAATATATATAAACTGAGGATTTTGTATGTAGCCACTACATCCTTCAAATTTCCAATCAAAAAATTTTTACATATAACAACTTTCTGAAAATCTACTCAAGAAAGATATGACTAAAATAACTTTAGCAAAATATACCAATGATGAGAATTCTTTTATTATTATTTAACTTGTATCTTAGGTTCCAGGGTACATGTGAAGGTTTGTTACATAGGTAAACTGTTGTCACAGGGGTTTGTTGTAGAGATTATTTTATCACCCAGGTATGAAGCCTTTTTCACTCCTCTCCCCCTTCCCACCATCAAGTAGACTGGAGTGTCTCTTGTTCCCTTCTTTGTGTTCATGAATTCTCATCATTTAGCTCCCACTTATAGGTGAGAATGGATGGGATTTGGTTTTGTGTTCCTGTGTTAGTTTCCTAAAAATAGTAGCCTCTAGCATATGTTGCTAGAGCCTAAAGACTAAAATAAAGGTTGGGAAAATGGTGTTAAACAAATTTACAAATATTATATGTTGTGACAAAGCAGAAAATATGTAATTAAAAATAATAAAACTAAGGAGAAGGAAAAAAAGAAATAGAAAAATCTCATTGATTGATGTATAGACAGTATGTGGGGGTTAAATAGTAGCAATAACAACTGAGAATCCTGAGTAAGGGTCAATAAATGGAAGACTAAGGCTATTAAGATACAAGTACAAGAGTAAAACTAGAACAAAAACATGAAACTTCCAAAATACTAAAATAAAACAAACATTAATTAAATGCAAGAAGTTCACTGCTCAAATAGATACATAACAAATACTACTAATATACAATGCCAGAGTTCAGCATAAAATTCACACTTTTGTTTCTTTTTCCTTTCAGAATTCAGTTTCTTAAGCACGCTTCTCTCTAGCTTTCTGACATTTTTCTCTAAACAGAAAAAACTTGTTTTGAAGACTGTGTTTTCACATCACACATATTGTAGACATGCAGAGAAAGAAGAAGCTCTAGCAAAATAAGGAGAAGGTAACCAAAAAAGTGCCTTTAAAAAAGATGTTTAAGCAAACATCATACCTACCAGTGAAACAGGGATTGCTTTTCCTGATATCAGGAACAATTTGAGTTATTCAACGTTATACTCTAGTCTTACCCAGTGCAACATGGCAAGAAAAAGTATAATTTTGGAAATGAGAATATAAAATATTCATTATTGTGAAAATGGTCATTATTCTCTGTCTTATAAAAACCCAAGAGAATCTAAAAATAAACAATTAAAATTGATAAACAAATTTAGCAAGGCTTCCAAGAACAGAGTAAAAAGTCTTTTATATTTCTCGATATTGGTAATACAAATCAAAAAATAACTTTAAAAAGATGAATTTATACTTGCACCAGAAACTCCAAATAGAAAAAAATTAAATCTAACACAACACATGCAATATTAATTTATGGAAAACATTAATAAAAAGTAAATATATAAATAGAAGAATATATGATGTTATCATGAATTTGGTATGGTAAAAATTGAATTTGTTAAAAATTTCAATTTCCATATATTAATTGATGACTAAGGAAATATATGATTTATAATTTTTTTGTTTTAAGGAATCATAGGGAAAAGTTACAATTTAATTAAATTTTAAAATTTATGCATAACTGCCAAAGACCAAAAATAATGTTGGAGAAGTACAAAGCTGATTACCTGTACTAAATATACTATGAAGAGTTATAATTCTATATTAATTAGAACAGCCTGGCATTTGCCCAAAATTGGAACTCTGACTTATCTTTCAAATATTAGCCCTTTTATGACGTATTGCTCAGTCTTTTAGACAGTTTTATCAAAACTTTGTCAGATACTGTAGCAGCTGGAAAATAATTACATAATTTATTTTTCTTTTTTTCTTATTTCAGACTGTGAACTCCTCAAAACATTAGTGACCATTCCAACCAATAATCCTTATATCCAGCAGATCCTCTGACATACATCAGACACTCAAGGAATAAGAAATAAATGATTAAAATAGTACCAGTGATAATATTTTTAATAGTCACCAAAATACCAGGGTGGTAACTCAAGCTTACCTCCTATATCTGGACGAAGTTTATTGTCATAGCCCTGAAGCAATGAATTCAGAATTTGTGTGATATCTCCTTCATGAATTTTTGGAGCCAAGACCCAGGTTTTGTTCATTGTTAAATCCTCATCATCTTCATCTTCTGCCTTATCAACACTAAATGATTTAAAAAAACGGTAGAAAGTTCAATCGAATTGTGTATAAAAGTATAGTTTAAGAACACTACCATTGAGTAAGAAAGTCATAATGTGGTACAAAAAGGCTTTACAAAAACATTATTTATTAAAACTAACACATTCGTCGTACAAAGTGCCCTGATGTGATAATATACAAAAATTGAGAATTCCGTGCAAGAAATATACAATATTAAAATAATAAAGTAAATTTTGACTACTCCCACAATGTCATTAACGTTCATAAAAATTATTCCACCAAAATGTGACTGGTGTCCCCTAAATTTGTATAAAATATGATCTGCACATCCATATGTTGTGAACTTAAACCATCACAACTAAAAATAAACCTTAAAACTTAAATGATTACAGGAAAAGATGTAATAATTAGTCTGGTAAAATGTATAAAAATTGATGTGTAGAAAAGAAGAAGAAAAAATCAGTAAAGAAAGGTTTGAATAAAAAGGAAAACATGTTGTGCACATGTTTTAAGTCAGAAGAACCCAGCCATCTTTTAAGTCAGAAAAACCCAACCATCTTTTTCTGAGAACATTGTCAAAGGTTTTCTGATCATCAAATTATCAATAGGTGGCTCATCTTCCACATATATTTGGGAGGAGTTATAACTATCAAATTTTATTAGAAGTGACATTGGAGAGATTAAGTAACTCTCGTCCTTTATTTTGTAAATGAGAAAACCAAAGTCCACTGAAACATAGCAAAAACACAGATCAATCTATTGGCAAAACTGAGACTATAATTATAGTCTTGATCTAGATGGTCTCATTTCCTAATAAAGGAAAAAAACATTTTCAGTCAAATGACACAGAAAAGCATCAGACATTAAGATACTTATCACAGTATTATCTATGATTGCATATTTTTTAACAATAAGAGTATGTTTAAATAAATAATTTATTAACAAAAGGTACACATCTGTTGTTTGTTAACAGTCTATAAAACCACCAAATTATTTTCATAATTGAATATTACATGAAAAATAACAGAAACAATTTGCTTTCATTGCCATCTATATATAAAGTAGCTTACAAGATTTGATGGAAAAATAGAATAAGGTATATACTTAATATTTTATACCAGAGAGACCATAGAAAATATATTTTTTGTATGTTAATATTATCTTTAAATCTTCATGTACACATTGTGTAATATAAATACATAAAAAGGAGTTAATTTGACAAGAATGCCTACCTAAGAATGAACTTCTTCTTTTATACCAGAGAGTACTCTGAAATAAATTTCAAATTATAAAATTAATAATTAAATAGAGGGTTTTATTTAGAGAGGCAGAATATCATACTCTCTTAAGGAAATTATTGTGGCAGCCCTGAACATTTGCCGCTTGGTTCTCCTGCCGTGGAAACATTAGTTGCCTGCCAGCACTAAGGATCAGCCCTGAGTCCGCACCTGACCAGAACTGTCCCAGGCTGCTTTCAGCCAATAACTGAGCACAGTGAGAGTCTTAATTCAGATCCAGTACTACCAGACTAGGAGCTACTCTGAAGGACAATTCCTGTTCGAGGATTCCCACTGGCATGGCCAAAACTTTCTTAGAATATGTTAATGGCATTCATTTTGATTCTTTTGATCCAGAACTTCTTCCCCCCCTTACTTTCATACATTTCAAACATCTTTTGTTACTTGAAGCCTCTCTTGCCACTCCCTCTTCCTCTCATTTAACTTTCCTAAGCATTTCTCTCTTACATAACTAAGGCCATCTTGACATCTTTTCTTACATATCTGAGGGCATCTTGACATCTTCTCAAATGCTGCTGCTTCTCACATTCAATTGCATGCAACCTGTACCTATTTACTAAAGAACATCTTTGAGTCATTTAGTATATGATTATTTCTTTTTATCTTACTAAGCCCAGTTACTTTAATATATCCTACAAATTTGTTTGATGACATAGGAAATTACTGTATGTGAAAAAAACTTTAATAACTATATTAGCTTTCTCCTATATAACAAATGAGAGTTTCAAATTAATAACAAAGAGTTAATTTAAGTAGAGACAAGGCATGCTTTGCCATAAAATTATGAAGAAAATCCGTCTTTATTGCTAGAGAAAAACTACATGCCTATAGCAAGTCAGTCAATTAATATAAACTAGTTTTTATGAATAAAGTAAACATGCATTGAGGTTTGCCCAAGAAAATCTTGGTTTACACCTGTTGTACTGAAATGATTTTTAATAGCAACTTCTTATCACAAAATGGCCTCCTTTGCATGATTAATTATATAGTCACCCTGTATTTAGTTCATATAAAGGTTACTGCAAATTTCCTGGTTCTGACACATGAGGGAGCTTCTTCCATTAATCTGTTAAGAAAGCAGAGATGAACTCAGAGTAGCTTAATAAAGTGCCCAAGGAATATGAGAAAACCCTGAAGTAATAGTTATAGACTGTTTTCCCCCCAGTGTGAAAAAAAGTTATAATTGTAAGTGAAATTCATTGATGAGGACATTTACATATTTCATTAGAAGAAAAATGATGATTGCTACTTGTACTGAGTATATGTACAGGAAAAATTCACTGGGAAGCAAATATAATAAATATATTGTCACTGGTATTTCCTCATAAACACTTTCGGGTTAGATAAATAATCATTATTTTCTCACTGGGAAAAGTTCCACCATGTTTATTAAAATAAATATAAAATTTGGTTATTCATTTTGTTATTTGAGGTGATCATAGCCCTATCTTTTAAAAGTAAGTGGAGCTAAAATTATTTTAATAGCAAGTTAATCAGTGAATCAATATACAACCCAGATAATAGGTAGATATGGTTACTCAAGAAATCCAAATTCTTGCCTTTTCTAATTAGAAAATAAATAAATATTTTCAGAAATCAGGACTACCAACAATATTCTCATCATTTGAATGTCATTGACTAAGATTAATTTTGGGGGTAATTTTGCTACTCCTATTAATATTTTATTAATTAGTATTTTATAAATAAGGAGACTTCAGAAATCCAAAGCACAAACAAAGAGAAGGACCATAGGTATCTGAGGAAGCTTGCAGAATGGTCCTTTCTAATAAGGGCCAGGGACAAATTCTTGATACAAGATCAACAAACAGATGCACCATTGGCAGAGGTGGATCATCTTTAAACTGACTGGCAAAAGTAAATGAAAGTGAAAAAAAAAAGAAAGAAAAGAAAATGAAACCAAACTGGCTTACAAAAGAAAATGAAACAAAAGCCAATTTGCTGAGACCGAAGGAAGAACGACACAGCTATATATGCACACTGCTGTTTTTTCTGTAATGTGTAAGAAGACAGTTCCAGCACTTTGAATAACCCTATAGCTGCCTGTCTTAGCTACCTGTATGTTTAGGTGATTTGGAGAAAATTTGGACATTATTTTAAATGACTAATACATGTAAAAGACAAGGGATGTTTTGAAAGGACAATTATTGACTTGAAGGAAATTTTTTAAGTTCAGAAAAATTGTCATTACACTATACAACATAATTCACCTGTAGCTATATTCATACAGCCATAATTAATTTGAACATCAAATATGGATTTGATGAACATCATACTGTCTATCTACAGACACATAATCTTTTAATTTCCAAAAATTACTTACCCATATAGATAGACAGGTAAGATAGGTAGGTAATTAGATGGATAGATAGATAGATCGATAGATCGACAGACAGATATTCCTTACCAGTTAGTCTGTGTATGCTCTTTCTTTGTATTGATTGTTTTGATGATAAAAAGCAAAACTAGTGAAGAAATTCTATTTCAACCAATTAGCTGGCTAGAATTATTTTCTTCCCCAGGTTCCAGTAGGTCTTTACTCTCCTTCCTGAAATAACTAGTTTTATAGGCACATGTGAGTATTATCACCTACTGAACTATAATTTGACCGAGTTAAAAGCAGTCAACAGGCAGGTCTGTTTATACCCCTAGGTCTTTTCTCAGGCCAAGTTGTCTGGGAGGCCTGGCTGAACAGTTGACCTCCAAATGTTCAGCCAGACTTTCATTTCTGACAGTGGAGAATTTTAACCAATAAATGAAGCAATAGCTAGTTTGTAGTGCAACCCATTTGAAACCATAGCTAGAGAAAAAAAGAAGGAATTTCTGCTATCAAGACTGCCCCATCCCCAGCTTTCCTGATGTTTGGTTGATCAGTCCTTCATTGGGTCCCAGGTGATACCCCATAATTAGTCACTTATGTATTTACATTGGTTTGTTGGTTAGTTTGCCTATGTGCAGTTTTGTAATTTAAAATAAAAAGAATCTTATACTATAAAATACTTTGACAAAGAGATAGAAAAGCAAAGGCATCTTCCCATTGCTTTATTTTGCATTGGTAGTAAATGAGCAGATTTAGTTCCTGAAAACATAATATAGCCAGAGCATTGTTACTAACTGAAATTTACATAAATGCTCATAGCTTAATAAACACTTGGTCCTACTGTGCTCAATTGAATTAAGCTCAGGATGGATAATATGTTAAGTTCAGTAATTAGGTATACAAACTTATCTTTTCTAACTTAACACCCTCTTTCCTTGTGACTTATCCTGACCTTAGAAACTGTTCATTTTCAGTCAGTTTTTTGGTAAATGAAATAAAACAATTGGAAGTTACTATAAAAATTTTTTGGCTTCATTAAGCTGGATATGAAAAAGAATCATGAGTGAGGAAGAATCTTGCACGCATGGTCACCTAATTCATCTTTCCAGTTCCAAATACAACTACATTTACTTTTTTTTAATTAAAAAATTTGTGGGTACAAAGTAAGTGTATATGTTTATGTGGCACATGAGATGTTTTGATACAGACATGCAATGTGAAATAAGCACACCATGGAGAATGGAGCATTCATCCCCTCAAGTATTTATCCTTTGCATTATAAATAATCCAATTACATTCTTCAAGTTATTTTAAAATATACAATTAAGTTATATTGACTATAGTCACCCTGTTTTGTTTTCAAGTAG